ATGAGACAAAAAAAATCTCCGCACATAAGCAAAAAAAGGATTCCGCAAAGTGCGAAGAGATGACAAACTATTTCTCCGCACAGTGTGAAGAGAAAAATAAAAACTCTCGAAACTTTATCTGTAAGTTCCAAAAGGTCTTTTCTCAAACAACTTTTGAGCAATGCATTGAACACTTTAATTTTTTTGCTTACAACCTAAAAGTATAATTTTATTGAAAATTGTTTCCGCTTCTAATGTCCAAGAGCTATTATCAAGCAAGTGTAAAATATTGAATTTGGGTGGTACCCTAGAGCCTCCATTTGTAAAAGCAATGTCATGGTACTATCAATATCTCCTTCTTTGCACAACTTGCATATTGTTTCATTATATGAATCACGAAAAAGCTCCTTTCCAATGCCATAAATATGATTTGCATACTAAGAAATTGAGATGTAACTGGAATTTAACGAAGACATAATTGATTTTGAACCATATTTTTCGACTCTGTTTCGTTGTATATACGAAAAATTTACAATCTTGAATTTTGACTTGTAATTAAGGAATTTGAAAACAACTCTCCGCATTGTGCGGAGAATTTTTTTTCTCTATACTGTGCGGAAAGCTAGTTTGTCATATCTCCGCACTATGCGGAGAGTTTTTTTTACTCCGCACTATGCGAAGAGTTTGCCAACTCTCCACACATAGTTCAACTCTATCCGCACTGTACAGAGAGGTTTTTTTCTCTCCGCACTTTTTTTTTACTCCACATATGGTTCAACTCTCTATGCACTGTGCGGAGAGTTTTTTTCTCTCCGCACTGTGTGGAGTGTTTTGCCGTGGTGCGGACCAACTCTCCAAACTGTGCGAAGAGATTAACTCTCTCCGCATAGTGCGGAGAGTTTTTTTTTACTCTCTATACTGTGCGGAGAGTTGGTTTGTCATCTCTTCGCACTGTGCGGAGAGATTTTTTTTTATTCTGCACATGGTTCAATTCTCTTCGCACTGTGCAGAGAAGTTTTTTTTCTCTCCTTACCTTTTTTTATTTTTACTCCGCACTTGGTTCAACTCTCTCTGTGCTGTGCGGAGAGTTTTTTTCGATTTTACAATATTGAATTACATAAATTTTATAAATATAATATTCATATTCAATTCAATCATATCAACAATATAAAAAACTACAAACAAAATAGTTTATATATTTCTTATTCAAACATGAAATATACAAACATATTTTTTCTAGATAACATACTGCTATGTAATTTTAAATATAATTTACAATTATTTTATTATATCATGGAAATATTTTTAGATATTGCTTCAAAAAATTTTCAAAAAAATTAAAATTCATACACTAATAAAAATATAATAAATACAAAATTCGTGCAATGCACGTGATAGCGACTAGTTATATATTAAGTTATTGCAATTATTTGTGGTTGTTTGTTGACATTTCATGGAAGATGGGAATTGAAACAGTAGTGAAGTCTTTGAAATAATCCATTATACTTTAACACTACTCTATATAACGGTGGGGATACCACAAGGGCTATAAGCAATAATCATCAAATTGAAAGATCGAATCAAAATCCCTTTTGAAATTGTCACTTTGGTGCCATGTGACGAAATGATTTTGAAATAAGTCAAACCATTCTAGAAAACTTTTGTTTAAGTTACAAAGTTTTTAATGACGGTTAGAAACCAAATGACGTAAAAAATAAAACTTTTAATTAAATTACAATCCTAACCTCAAAAATAAAATATAACCATTAAAATGTTAATACACAAATGAGCAATTTGATCATTTGTCTATTACCAAATATCAATAATTTATTAATTATGCTAATTCCGTACTCAACTGTTGAGACGTTTCTTTAGTTTTGCTATATTCAAATTAGACAGAATCATTTACATTCATTTTGGAGAAAAAGATGCTTTTTTTTTTCTCATTGGCCAACATAATGTAAAGTAAACAAGCCTTCGATGGGTGGGTTCGGGAATTTCAATACCTATAACCACCCCTTCATACTTTGAGCATTCCATAAATAAAACATTCGGGTCTTTATAATTATTGGAACCTAATCCAAACCTGAACCGTTGATTCTAATTCGGGTTCAATTTTGCTCATAATATTTTTTATACATTTAATAAATATATCTAGATAAGCTCTTTCAGTATACATACATTGTATGTTATTATTCGATAATATTTGTGCAAGAAAAAAGTTCAGCTTAGAAATCTTCAAGAAGCAAAATAGTCGAGAAGGGGAAAATTAAAACATCAAAAATTAAATTAAAATCTGAGAAGAAATTATTATTTCTTAATAAATCTTATTCGATCCACAAAGTGAAGATGTTAGAGCCTACAACTTAATTATGAACAATACTTCAATTTTTTTACTCTTAAAATGAATCAACCTAAAAATACTAATTAGATACATAACTATATAATATCAAGAAATTGCAATCCACATATTGAACTCAATGTGTTTGAATAAAAAAGAAAAATTTATATTACAAAAGAAAATCACGAAATCAAGATAACCAATAACATGTTTGGGCTTCGTTTTTTCAACAATCATTTGCAACCACACATTCTTTTATAAAATAATTTTACACATAAATTCAATTTTACTTTTTTATTTTTAACCACACATTTTCTAACTTTTTACTATTTCAAAATAGGAGCCCAGATAAGGGCTGAAAAGGTATACTACATTTCAAGCTATAAATATATCGAGTTCAATTACCACGCATTATTAAAAATTTAAAAATCACTTAAGTTTGTAAACGATGAAAGAAAGTAAAAAGCTCGAATTATAAAAAATGTACGCTTTGATTCATTAACTAACATTACAATCTAGCTTGAACTTTTTTATTCATAATAGTCCAAATTGCAAAAATTAATATATATTAATATCTGAAATCCAACAACCTGATGTGAGGCGAGAGGAAAAAAAATGTAGGAGTCAATCTTTATTTTTTAGGATTAGAATATAGAGGTTTAGACTAATTACTATTCAAATTAGGGTTTTTAGGTTTTGTATTTTCTTTTATCCATGTTATAAATTATAAATAAAAAATTATATGAAAATCGGTTCCATTCGAGTACCCATTATTCTGGTTCAAGAACCAAGAATCAAATCGAATCTAGTCGGTTATTTGTTCTCGATTTTTGGTTCCTAATTTATTTTTTTGAGAATCAGACCGGAGCCTTTGGTTCCAATTTGGTTTTGTTTCGAGAGGTTTGGTTTTGATTAAAATGTCCAAGCCTACTTTATTTTCTAGATTTATCCCTCAGTTTAGCTAAAAATAAATAAAATTTTTAGTAAATTTTAATAAAAGTTGATGAAATATATAGCTGAAAATAAGTTTGAGAAAAAAATGAATATTAGAAAATGAGGGTCAAATGGAGGCTTAATTTATGATGCCTAGTTTTTATTTAAAATATTTTAGATGTCCTCAAGTTATCATTATATCAAATCAAGTCCAAATTTTTAGTGGCTCTTTAATTTCATCGGATCCCAATTAAGCTCCAAATCACTTCCTATTTCTTGATTTATCTTCAACTTGGTGATGTAACCTATAAAAAATAAAAATAAAAAATAAAAAAACACATAGTGAACAGAATTTTACTCAATGCATCGTTTTAAGCTCCAGATAAAAGTATAAAATACACCTATCACTATCAGTTAAGACCTATATTATTAACTTTGAAATTTAGAATACAATTTAGTTTATTTGCTATAATTTTTCTTGTGGTTGAAGTCTTGAAGAAACAAGCATCGAGGAATTGAGAAGCAAGCGATCACTTTCTAGTTTTGGTCTTGGGTTAAAGTATTGTTAGTGGTGGCAATGGGCCGAGCCGAACTCCTGAAACACGAGCCAAGCTGAGCCCGCGAGCTCAAAAATTTTTTTAAAAATTTAGACAATTTTTTTTCACATTTTTCACGAGTCCACAAGTTTATGAACATTAGTCTTGTAGGCACAGCCCATGAGCCATTCACAAGCCCTTGCTCAACTCGGGTCTGGCTCGTCTAGGGACGAGCCCGAGCTTTAATGACCGAGTGGACAAGTTACTCGACTCTTTTGTCACCCCTATGTATTGCAATATTTGCGAAGGATAATGTATATTTTGCATTATTAGTGACAGAGTTAATGTTATTCAACTTTTTAGTTATTTGGGCTCTTGAGAAGCTATCAAAAGTTGAAACTTTATATGATGACCAAAGAATTGCCTTGTAAAATATTCCAGTTTTGTGCTGCTAGATGATGTGGATAATTGTGACATTTGCTTACCCTAAAAATTATTAATACTGAATTTGAAGTTTTCTCATTGCCTTATTTTGTTTGATACTTCTGGTGGACAATATGCGAAAATAGGGCTTGGCTTCGACTTCATTGTAATGTTGTTGTTTGGATTGGACTAGACTGAATGGAATCACTTAGAATTGGAAAGGATCTCAACCCTTATAACATCAAGTTATTGTCGCAACATCTATTCAGCCTGCTATGCCATTTGGTTTGAGTTTTGCACTAAAAAGCCAAAGAACCGGACTCACCAGACCCATACAAGCCACACTCATCAAAGGAACGGATGATTTTGTATGAGATAGTTCATATGATTCAAATTTCTGGACTCGTACAGATTATACTCATTGACTTTATGTTTCTATGATAGCACAACCCGTCTGGTGTTGGTGGATATCCTCCCTTCATTTATGCTATTATTTTGGCTCCAATAATTGAATATACGTATCTATTTTGCTTTTAAAAAAAAAAGAGAGAGAGAAAAAATCACTTTGTTTCAACCAATGGAGAAATTTAGGGCTATTTGTGTACGTTCCACCAAAATTAAGGCTTTCGATTGTAGTAATTGTGGATCTCAAGCCCATTTAACTGTCCACGAAGACTTTGGGCCGTAAATACCAACCCACAATTTACAACGAAATTCAAAGGACAGAACTGTCTTTTCACTCAGTCGCCCAACGCGAAAACCCTAGCTCGTTTACATAAATTCCAAGCCCAAAAGAACATATTTTTACACACGCCCTTAATCCCCCTTCCACTCTAACCCGGATCTGCCGAAATGCCGCCGAAGTTCGACCCGTCACAAGTAGTAGACGTCTTCGTCCGGGTAACCGGCGGCGAAGTCGGTGCCGCCAGTTCTCTTGCTCCGAAGATCGGTCCCCTTGGTCTTTCACCAAAGAAAATAGGTGAAGATATCGCCAAGGAAACAGCCAAGGACTGGAAGGGCCTCCGTGTAACCGTCAAGCTTACCGTTCAGAATCGCCAAGCCAAGGTGACCGTGGTGCCCTCTGCCGCAGCCCTTGTCATCAAGGCCCTCAAGGAACCCGAGCGCGATCGTAAGAAGACCAAAAACATCAAGCACAGTGGCAACATCTCCCTAGATGACGTCATTGAGATTGCCAAAGTAATGGCTCCACGATCCATGGCCAAGGACTTATCTGGCACCGTTAAGGAGATCCTCGGGACGTGCGTCTCCGTTGGGTGTACGGTCGACGGGAAGGACCCCAAGGATCTGCAGCAGGAGATTACCGATGGTGATGTTGAGATTCCACAGGATTGAAAGAGAGTTTGAACCTTAATCTAAATCTCCTACTGCTAGGAATCGTTTTTATTTTTGTTTGGTAATTTTTGTTATGTTGCTGAAACTGCCTGGAACTGATATGAATTATTATTTCAACTTTTAGTGGGAGGAAAGAGACTTGGTTTAATTTAGATAATTATGGATTTTGATTGTCAAGTTCTGTGGAACTATTTTTTTTGTGCTATCAGTTAATTTGAGTGTTCTCAAATGGATGATTGCACAATAGACTGCCTGTATGGTGGTAAAAATTGAGTACCGTACACATTCTTTCTAAAAAGAGATGGAAGATCATTTGACAACAGGATAATTCGGATAGGCACTCAAAGTGATATTTTTTATATTAATTATGAGTACATTTAATTCAATTCAATGGGGTTAGAGGATTTTTGAAATCACCTGTTTCGACTTTTGATCAAAGTACTGCCTTGTTCAATTTTTGGAGAGGTGAGAATATTCTTTGTTTGTGGTCGAATCCACTCTTTGGCTTTAACCTTTTCCTGGGAGTGCTTTCCCTGTGATTGTCTTTTTCTTTGCTTGTTGTGCTGCATTTTCTAGTTTTCTATGCTTCTGTAGTTTTAAGAGATGGGGACAAATGAAAGATGAATTTCATTCCCACTATGAATCCTGAATTCACCCACATGACCAATTAACCTTTCGTTGGTGCTCATGAACCAGAACTAGCATGGGTAAAATTGCAGCGGTTAAGAGAGTGGATCAAAGAATTGTTAGTGGTGACATTTCTAGTAATCTTGCTTATGTGAGGCTTTTTAGATACGGGAGCTTTAATTGCTGGAGAAAAATACTGAGTAGTGATTCAAAGAGGGTCCGAAGGCTGTTATTAAGGAAGCTGAAGAACCTGAAGAAAGCGATTCTATTTAGTATCCATTAACTTTTTCTTAATTTTAATCTTTCCCTTGGTAAAAGTTGACTCTTGGTCTGCATGTGCTTCATAGTATCAATTAACCTAGTCAATGTGATCTTAGTATACTACAATATCTTGCTATTGTCGAGCAATTTCTGAAACCAAGAATGATCTTTCCCCATAGACGGATGTATTGAATTTAACCTGTTGAAGTAATTATTTTGTGTTTTTGCTTTAAATTTCTTTCCAAAAATTCTTCGGTAGTGCCAAAGATGTTCATTTTCCATCTGGGTTTTTTATTTCATGTGCAATTTATTTAGTTTTGATAATAGTTACCATTTAGTGGAATCAATCTGATGTTGAAAGCAGTCCAGTTTTTTGTTAAAACTGTGTTTGTTTTTATTATTTTGACCTCCACTTCTGCATCATTTATCATTTTCTTCCCCTTCATTATCGTAGAAAATTCCTTTTTCCATTTCAGTTATTTTCGCTTGATGACTGACTGCTCAATTTATGCGGTTTTGACTTTAGATTATTAAGTTGTAGGTTTTTGAATATATATAACCCTTTTGACTTTCATCCTTTCCCTTTAGAATGAAGTTTTGCACGGACTTAAGATCATGTCATGTGGTTGTTCGACGAAGTGACTGCTTTTAGTGTTTGTTTAGTGCTTGTTTTGTTATTATTTTCTCCGCTCATTACATTAGTTACTATATAAACGCACTTGCAAGATTTATCGTGTTACTTAAATGCCATAGTTTGCAAGATTTTGTACATGTGCCTTTCACTTTAGAATGAAGTTTTGCATTGACTCGAAATCATTTCCTGTGGTTGTTTGGTGAAGTAATTGCTTTTAGTGTTTGTTTAGTGCTTGGTTTTTTCGTATTTTCCTCCGAAATTAACCTTGTGGAGGGTCTCCGCTCATTACATCAATTACCATACATACATACATATATCACCTGCAAGATTTATTGCGGTACTTAAATACGATAGGTTGCAAGATTTTGTATGTGTAGGCCAGTATGAGAATGGATGCTGAGTGAGCATGTTATATTTTGTTTGTTTCTGCTCCTATAACTCGTGGATGATTTCATGGCGATTCGGGAGATTGCTCATGGTCACAATTCCTATTATTGACGAATTAATTATTATTAACAAGAGAAAGCTTATGAGGTCTCTTAGTGACGTGGTCACTGGCTGATGGGTTCGATCAAGTTGTGATATCTATGGTGACTTGGAGTTTGGCTTTAGTAGCTTACATGCTCAGCATGTGGTATTGTGATCCCATTTTTCTGCTGGGAACAAAATGCTTTAGAAGTGCATTTACACAAGAAATCCTGGTTTTCCAACGTAGTTGAAACCCCTGTTATTCCCGTTTGCTTTCTACAAATTCATCAAACTATGTTACAAATGATCCTTTGCTGTAGATTATACGCTAAACTTGATTTCCATTCCCTTTCTTTCCAGAATCGGGAGGGAACACAGCAAATTGTTACCAAAGGGTAATAGAGTATTAGGAACTTGAATTCCTCCTGGATATGTAGCTCCCGGTGCCTTTTATGTTTCCCCATAAGCCTTCATCGATACCTTTGCCAAACGTTGTATAAAAAAAAAAAAAAAAAAAAATAAAAAACAAAAACTATTTTTC